TCCATACTCCTGAAATTTTGTGTGCCCACTTTAAAATCTAACCCATGGAGCCCAATGTCTACCACCCATGTGCTCCTGGGTGTGGGGCCATCCTTTGGAGTGTGGTCAATCTACCAGGGTACACACCCTTAAAGAAAAATGTCTCCCTCTCCCAGAAGCTATCAATGGCTCATACCTCCTTAGGGTGAGGGCTCATGAGCCAAATCCAATAAGAAAATGGTTGGTTTTCCCCATACTAGTTGTGCCCTGGGTATATCTCGCTGTACAAGTCGGTTCTTACCATCAAGTTGTGATGGGCAACCAAAAGCAATAGCAATAACTGTACTTTTTTTTTTTGGGGGGGGGGTGTCTGCAGTATACCTCTGCCCAACAACTCAAGTAGAGGTATCCCACGTCTGGCACTAGGTCTTTTATTTTTAGACAAGTATGGCTTCTGGTAGGAGCATCATTCCCTCTGTAGGGGGGCAGCTCCAATTTCGTTCTTTTCTGTAAGACCCACTTTGCCTTAATGAGTAATTGCTGTGGGATGTCTTTCTGTACACTGTGAATATGTGCTGTTCCACTTGCTTGATAAATAAAGCTGCATTGGCCTGTGGCAGGGCAGGATGGAGCCAGGCAGGAAAATCCAAGAGAGATAGTGAAAGGAGACAGGAGAGTAAGGGAGACACCAGCCACTGCCCCAGGAGCAACATGTAATGGTACACAGGTAAAGCCACAGAATGCGGGGCGATACATAGATTAATAGGTATGGGTTAATTGAAAATGAAAGAGCTAGCCAGCAAGAAGCCTGCCATAGGCCATACAGTTCATAATTAATATAAGCCTCTGAGTGAATATTCTATAACGGGACACAGGGAAACTCCATGTAATATTTACTTATTTTTTCTGCTGTAGAATTGGCTTCTTTGATTATAAAGCTCCCTGCAAACAGCATGGTTTTCACCCTTAACTGCAGCTAAAGTAACGAGGTCCATAACTACAGTGTCAAAGTGACATTTCCCTGTGGACTTCTGCAACTACCCCTGTGGCCTTGAGTCAGACGTTTTCCCTAAGTCACAAATGGCCTAAAAGTTGTGACTTTGGCCTCATTTTGTAGAGGCAGAGGAAGATATGAGGGCCACATTTTGGAGGGATAGATGCATCTGCTTAGTCATGCCTGAGGATTTTCTTCTTTCTCTTCTCTTCCGGTGACAGTTCCTACACACGTGAAAGTCTTCTATTACAAATCATAAGGTCATATTTTATGTCCATCCAAACACTGAGATCCTGGGTCAGAATCCTTGACAACCTGAACTGTGTTAAAATTTCCAAGTTCTCTCTGAGTGAATTGTAGAGAATAGCATTGTGGAATTCAATGTTATATGCCCTCAAATGTGTTTTTGCTTTTAAATTTAAATTTAATTCCCCCCCTTCAGAATTAAAGAGCAAAGAGATAGAATTTGGTTGCAATATTGTGGAAATAAAATATACATATTATTTTAACTCTTTCTAGCCTCTAACCATGATTCCAAAATTAAAAGGACATATAGTAGAAATTCCAACAAGGTTAATTGCAGATACAAGTACATGATTGTAGTTGGCATACTTAGATCCTCAAATTTTTATAAAGAAATCGAGAACTGCAGTGTATTTGGGAAATAGAGAATTGCAGTGTATTTGGCTATTGCTGAGCCAAGTTATAATCAGATTACAAAACTAGGATAATGATCCTTAGTAATCAGCCCTTTTCATTATAATTTTTTAGGTTTTAGAATTTCCCTTATAGTCCTCAGATACAAGCATCCTGATTAAAGCCTACTTGGTACATTTGATTATTGGATCTTTCATTTTTATTTATATCTATCTGTGTGAATGTATGCCACGTGTGTGGGTGCCCTAGGTGAGAAGTGGGTGTTGGGTGCCCCGAAGCAGCTGGAGTTACAGGTGATTCAAAGACACCTGACGTGGGTGCTGGGAACCGAAGCAGGGACCTTGTGAAAAGGTCGGCTTTGGCGGCAACAAGAAAAACATTAAAAGATGTGCTTTAGTATCTTGAAAAATGGTTAAGTGGGAGAAAGTGAGACTTATTGGACGTTTGGGGAAGCAAAACAAAACCGGTGATGCCTTCTATTCTTTGCGGGTGTGTGAGGTGCTGTGTATCTATTCCACTGAGGATTACCCAGTGGGTAATAGAGCTAGGGCCTAAGAGTAGTCTCTTCCCATTCCTAGGCCAACCTAGGTTGTAAGCTTCCTTTTTCAGTTCTTACACCTGCATCTTGCTAGGTAACAAGTGAAAAAGCATCTCGATGAATATCTTTCTCGATTAAGATATTTACACTTGTGAGCCTACACCAAGCATCCTCTTATCCTGGAAATATAGACATCAACGCAGGGGGCCACTCGCCTGCAATACTCCCTGGTCGAGTCCTAGAACAAATTAAACCGGATACACGGAAGGTAAATCGCTGTCGACAAGGCTCGAAGCCCAAAGGCCCTTCCTGGGCAGGAGCACGGACTGACCCTTCAAGTCAGTATTTGCTTAGTGCCTGCGTTGTCAATTTTGGATCTCACTGCCAACAGCATCCCCTTTAAGGAAAAGGAACGCAGTTGCCTTACCCGCCGACCACCCTTTGCTTTGCAAAGTTTTCAGCTTGGTCCAGAAACGAAACTTCAGAGTAGGGACTTACCTGCTGCTTCCAACGCAGTCCTCGTTTCCCCCACTTGGAGAGGCAGACGAGGTTGAGGGTCGCGCGGGGACCCTTGGGGACCCCAGTACCGGGAAAACCTGGGCAGGGTATCACAGGAGGCTTACCAAAGACTAAAGTTTGCCAAACGTCCAGGTTCCCAAACCTGATGCCGTGTGCGAACAGCCTTTTCCGCTGAAAGTGTGGGTGGCTCTGAAAAGAGCCTTTGGGTTGCGGTG